ATAGCAGAGATAGTGTAATAAGAGAGTGGGAAAGGGCAGAGGGTCAAACATGGGGTAAAAAATATATACATACATATACATATATATGAAAGTAGAAATGGAATATTGATGATAACATGCATGATTAAGCCACTGTGCAGTTTATTCTAGATGGGAAACCACATTTAGTATGTTGTGATGATTCTTAGGGAATTAATGTTAAGTAATTTAATAAAAAGTTTCAGGAGAAAAAAAAAACACACTGGGTACATGTGTGTGAGTTCCCAAAATCCTGAAAAGGGGAAAGAGATGGAGAAGGGATTGTGGTGATGACCATCCCCCATGGTGGGTGCTTTCTCACTTTCTTTCTCTTCTTCTCTGTCTCTCTCTGGCAAGTATTTGTGTCCCACAGCAAAATTAAAGAAAAAAATAATAAAATATAATAAGGAAGCAATTTTCCTTGACATATTAGAGTACTCCTACGAGTCTGACTTGGTGCACTGAGCCTACTCAGTACCTTTTCAGGTATCACCTCCGGCTTCCACTGAGCCTGGCGAGCCGCCTTACCGTCTTCGGGACAACTGGGGCTTCTACTGGCCTCTCCATAGTTGTTTATTGTTGTCCCCTTTACAGTCTTCTTGATCTGAATCCTGTCTATCTCAAGCACAAAGCCAAGTACTACTTTATAACAAGGCTTCTGTTTCTCTCTCCTTTTCACTATACCAAGAATTCTCAACTCCTTCAAGAATACCTGAGATAAACTTAAATACCTGAGAGTCACCCATGAAACCGTATATCGGGTGGTTGGAAAAGTCATGATGCATTTTTACATAGAAAAATAAGTGACTTTTCCAATGACCCAATATTAATGTCACTTAAATCAAGAACAAAAATGTCCAGTTTTTTTTTTTTTATTAATTCACTTTACACCATCACAACACACAAATGAATTTTCCATCCAAAATACACTGTGCATTGTCTCAATCAAGTACATCCACATATATGTTCTCAGCAAATAATTTTCCAATTCTTACGTCCTGCATACCTTGCCCTTTGTCTTGCCATCCCTGATTCCCCATCCCCCACCCTCTGCTATGTCCCACCTTCTCCCCCCTTTTTCCCTGGCATCCATGGTTGCCCTCCATACCTTCCTCCCCC